GGGAAACCCACCCATCTTGTGCATCAGGCCTCTGTCCAAACACTTGGCTCCATCCCTGGTAGCTCTGGGCTGTGTAGGAGGGAAAGGAAGGTCTTGAAGGGCTTGGCTGTTTCATTCAGCACCAAGGAATGTGAGGCATATCCATAGTGCTAGAGCAGCTTGTCTTCTGCCAATGAAGGGAGCAAGTGCTAAGTGTTCTGAGATGTAGGCTTTGGGCATGGTCCTCAGCAAATGTTTCGGATCTATTTTCATCTTCTGGGGCCTTGGTGCAGGGGCCATGGAGCACACTTGAGACAGATGCAATCACACGTTGCTTTCCCTCAGCAGTGTGGGCTTCACTTGGTGCAGATGGCCTCTCCAGCCTGTGCACCTGCAGCTTTCCCTATCTGGAGAATTTCCAATGCTGCTGGCTGCCCAGGAGCTAGGGGTGCGGTTCTGGCAGAAGGAATGAGTCAGTGTGGTTCCTGTTCAATCTGACAGAGGACAGACATCATCCTACAGTGCTGACAGGTGTTCTGGCTTGGTCATCAAGAGGTAGACTCGAGGGCAGGGTCAGACTCTTGAACTTTCAGCCATTTCTATAAAACAAAGCGCATGTCCTCAGCCTCCCAACTTCTCGTGAGGGTGCAATGAAATGTCACATGTAAAGTGCCTCGTATACGGTTCTCAGTGAATGGTAGGTAATGTTGACTCCATTTCTTATAGTGATACAAAATAAGAGAAAGCTAAGTGAGCAGGTGTTATTACCTGGTATTTTTCCTATGAATGAAATTTTGGCAACAACATGTAAACATATAGTATAGGGGCAGGGTTAAGAAAACTCTCCTCTCTAGTGTTTACCCCTAGTGCACGAATGGGTTTTGGGAGCCCATTCCCTATGGAGGGATACTCTCTCAGCCTAGATATGGGGAGGGCCTTGGTCCTGCCCCAAATGATGTGACAGACTTTGATAATCCCCCACGGGCAGCCTCACCCTTTCTGAGGCATGGATGGGGGGTGATATGGGGAGACTAGTGAAGGAGTGGGAAGATGGAGGGAGAGGGAACTGGGATTAGTATGGAAATTTGTTTTTAATTTAAATACAAAAGAAGACCACCCCCCATGCTATAGTCACAGATGATAGAGGTTATCAAGACACAAGTGGCAAGTCCTACAGTTGGATACCACAGACCAAGGAACTCCAAAAATATAGCTATGCAAAGCCTGGAGGGTACTCTACTCTCTCTCTCTCTATATATATATATAGATAGATAGATAGATAGACAGACAGACAGACAGACAGACAGACAGGACAGACAGACAGGGTGTCTCTGCATAGCACTGGCTGCCCTGGAACTCACTCTGTAGACCAGGCTGGTCTCAAACTCACAGAGATCCGCCTGCCTCTGCCTCCCGAGTGCTGGGATTAAAGATGTGTGCCACTAATGCCTGGCTAACACAAATATTTATGTGTAGCTCAATCAAAGTAGTAGTAGTAATGGGACTCTTCCCTGACCTCTAAGCTGTCTCTAAGGCTACCACAGTATTCTGACAAATTTTCTTACAAAGACAGACTTCATGCAGATATGGCGGGAGAGGTGAGCAGGCTTATGGTCCCCTGGTGGCTGAATCTGGGTTCTTCTTTAGTACAAGGTAACTTAAATAACAGGGTACAGCCAGTGGAATCTGCATGCAGAGACAAGCCACGAAGTCCAGAGAGCTTGGAGGGCAGGTGATCAGGACAGAGCCCTTTAGGTCCACTGCTAGCTACCTGCAAGTTCCTAACCTCAGGACTTGTAAGGTAGCCCTACTACTGCACCATGAAGAGGAACCAGGGGTATACACAGGGGACATCCCTCTGTACTCTCAGCCACTTAGTGAGCGGAAAGGGCCCTGCTACTTTCCAACTGTGTTCCCCCAACCCCCAAAGGGGAAAGGGCTAGAATACCGGGACTCAGGGATGGATCTTGGTCCCCAGGTGAATGTCTGCTGACTAGCATCTAAAGGAGGCATCTCCTGCCTTGAATAATGGGAGGAACTAATGCTTCTTAGAAAAAACAATGGGGGAGGAGCTAATGCTTCTTAGAATAATAGTAACAGGAGGGGCTGATGCTTCCTGGAGAGAAAGACCAGCTAATTATATTGTTTTTCATTTTTGAGTGTGTATGTGTGCATGTGTGTGTGTAGGCGTGTGTGCATGTGTGGAGTCCAGAAGCTGACATCAGACGTCTTCCCTATTGCTCTCCACCTTATCATTTTGAGATGGTCTCTCACTGACCCACAGCTCACCGGCTGCTCAGTATGCTCTATCCTCCCAGTGCTGTAGTTACAGATATGCTCTACCACAGCCAGACTTTATGTGGGTGTTGTGGATCTAAACTCAGGTCCTAATACTGACTGAGCCATCTCCCCAGCCTTTAATCTCATTTGAATCAGTGAAGGGTGACTGAAAAACACAGACCGTTTCCCTGGAAATCTCCTGAAGAGCATATCCAAATGCCAAGAAATGCCCTTAAGGGGCTAGGAAACCTTAGGAAGGAAATTTCATTTTGGGTAAATGTAAATCAATAGACAACTCACCATGGGAACTCTCTCCGAAGGCTGTTGAGTGTGTGCCTAGCATGTTTTTAAAGATGTCCACTGAATGAATGGACACATGAGTGTACATATAAAGCAATGGACATAGGCATGACAGCAGGAAAGGAAGAAATGGACTCTAGCTGAGAGCTGCTGGCTACTGCTGTATCTTGGATCTCAGAGTGCTCAGCTCCTAAGGGGCTACATCTCACTGAACAAAGATAACTACTGAATGTGGGGTTGAAGTGAGGGCTGGGCAGGAAAGAAGAGGGAGTCACCCTTTCCCTACAGCCCAAAGTCTCCAGGATCCCAGTGTACTTACATCCCAGCAGAGACCAAGAGCTGTCAAGAAAGTCAGAGTGGATGACAAGAACAGGTCCTGAGCCCATGTGTGCCACTGGAACCACCCCGGACAAAGACCATTAGACCCTGGCTCCTGCCTGCTAGCCCTTCTTCTCAACTCTCCCAACACAGAGCTGACAGATTGGTGGCGCTGTTTGCCTTCCCTTCTAGAACAATATTTTATGAGGAGTCTGTTTTATTAAAATATTTTCCGCTGGATGTTTCCTGTTTCAAGAAGTTGGTCTTGCCAGCTGGAGCTGGTGACAGTCAAGAGAAACACATCCAAGTGCTGTTGTGACATGGCATTGGGAAGTGGAAGAGCATGGTGGGGGGGCTGGGGATGGCAGAATGGAAGAGATGCACCAGGGTGGCCTGACGGGAACACAGCCTCCCCTGTTCCTCATTAAGAAAATGTAAAAAGAAACCCTAACAATGACGTCTTAGCGCATCCTTACCACCTCCTGGCCAGTCTGAGCTGTGGTGAGGTGTGCTCATGGATGTCTTTTAATTCCTGTTACTGTTGTTTGCCAGCCCTCTGAACCAGCCTCAAACTCCTGTTCAATTCATCTCAACATGATGCTTTGTGGGAAGAAATCTAAGACACACACATTACATGAAAATACCGAGGTGGCACCAACAAGGCTAAGGCAATTACCAGAAGTGCCACCTTCCTGCCACAACCGGCTCTCTGCACATACTAAAACACCACCTCCTGTCACTGGTTTGGAACAGGAACAGCATAAAGAAATGTGCTTGGCAAGTCCAATCTCTAATCAGAACACAAAGTAGGGAATGTGTTTCTGTAGGTTGTGGACTGCTGCTGGTCTAGTTTGTGTGTGTGCGTGTGTGTGATGCAAGGGCATCCTGAGTTTATGACTCAATACTTACAAGTCTATGGCTTCTATCCTAGGACACTGTGTAAAAGGCTGATCAGCTACAGGAGGTGGCTAATTCTCTCCTCCTCCTCAAGAGAATCTTTAGGGCAAGAGGAAATGCAGAGCCATGCAGCATTCTCACCACAAGGGGGCAGTTATAATCCATGGCAAGGGAGATGTCCGTCCCTCAGTATTTGGCTCACGCCAATGTGCAGAACCCAAATGAAGCCTGCCCCAACTTCATGTATCTCCTCTTCAAAACCTCACATGTCCAAGCATCTCCAGAAACAGACATTCTCCCCCCACCCCCCTCCTTGGGTGTTCTCTGGGTAAAGACTATTCAGGCTGGCTCTATAATAAAGCAGAAGATCACGGGAGGACTGAAGTGCACCTGGGCTACCCCACAGCCTGACATTTTGGATTTTTTTCTCTATTTTGGCACCAGTTCTTTGTAAAGAGGGGCACACAAAGGACAGTTGTTGTTTTTTTCCCTCATCCCTCAAACAACCCTAGGCCAAGTCAGATTCCTGAACATTCTAAAGGTACCCCAGGCAGGGGTATCTGTCTGGGCAGAGCCCAAGGCCCATGTACACTGGGGCAGCTTCCCAGGCAGCTCTGCAGTTGGGGCGGCTGCAGCTTTTGACCCTGCAGGTTCAGTCACTCCATTCACTCAACAGCCACCAACATGTGACTGAAGCTGGTACTAGGCTGGGTCCTGGGGTGCCTTGAGGAGCTGCAGGTCAAAGAGGAGTCTGAAGCAAAGTCCTTGTAGTACAGGTGCTATGGCTAGGAGAAACCAAGGGTGAGGACATCATGTGGCTAAACTCAAGAGACAGAGATTTGAACACCGACAGGCCTATGATGACAGCAGCCTTGCTGAGCAAGTGACTTCTTATTTAGCTTATTCTAACATGTGGACTCTACATCTTCAATATGAGAGGCCTGGAACCTTTGGAGTATGACTGAGTGCCATTTGGGCCTCACTAATCAAAGCATGGCCCAGGTTCCTTGTTGGGGCGGAGGGGGGGGGTGCTCTTGCTAATGCAACAAACAGAGGCTCAGACTCTGACACCAATGACCAAGCCCTGTCCCCTGTTTGGTCTCCTTGTGAAACACCTGCTCAGGGTTTCAAGGAACCTCCAGGAGGGAGGCTGGGCTGCATGGTCACTGTGAAGCTACAGCTTAATGGGTTCTTGGGGACAGAAGTGAGGTGGCAATGGTACTCACTGCTCAGGGCTTGGGACAGATGTCCTCCGGCCTTCCACAGTAATGTTGCTCTTAGGTCTCTTGACAACATGCGGACGAGGCGGTCGTACCTAAGGATGAGCATGGGGAAATCCCCAAGAAGGAGTGAGTTGGAAAGGCCCCACAAGTACATTGTAAACACTTTGGTAGGCATCCCCAGAAGGTTTGGGGAGAGGTTCTCCAGGTCTGGGCTACCAGAGACCTGCTCATCACAGTGACACACCATTAACATACAGAATATGGATGCATACAGAATATGGATGGAATTTAACCTGGATCACTGAAAGGCTCTCCTCATCCACAGACCCATTGGCCTCTCAGAGTGAGGTATGAACTACATAGGAGGTGGATGGACACACCCTTATCAGAGTGTGGAAGAAAGGTTCCACCCAGACTTGTTTTGGGGGTACACATACTCAATGTACTCTTTCACAGCCAAATTACAGGGTACATATTTTCCTAAGGGACAGCTCCAGAGAGTGCCCACCTAAACCAACCTGCTTCCTGTGTACCCTGGGTCTGTCTTCCAGCTGGGCTCAACTGGATGCTACACAAAGCACAGATTAGGGGTAGCAGTGGGCGCATGAGGGCAGTAGACACTGTGGGTAGAGGAGTCATTCTGAGCTGCCACCTCAGAGGAGAGATGCCTCCTTCTCTGATCCATTAGAGTCTGAGATGGATGTTAGGCCATGAATTTCTGGGTACTCTTAAGATGAGTCTCATTTGGTCCAACCAGCATTATGAGGCTTTATGTGTGGTATCATCACCTCTGACCACTTCCAATATCAAAGAGGTTTGGGAAGAGCTGAGAATGTCCTTCTGTGGCTCCTGTTTTCTTGAAGACAAGCCAACACTGCAGCAGGCACAGGGGGCTTGCATTCCCTGCAACTGCAATGACTCACCAGCTGAGCTCTGCTGACACAACACACACTCCATTACCTATTGCCCTTTCCCAGAACAACCCCACCCCTGGCAACTGGTAAGTGACAGCACAGTGGTGAGGAACAAGATTACAGAAGTTGGCTGCATACAAGACCAGTCTTGATAGAGTCTCGAGGAGCCCTAAGGTCTGCATACATCTGACCAAACCAAAGATTTTCCTGTGGAGCGGCCAGTCTGAGCTCAGCCTCATTTGGCAAATCAGGGATGTGGTAAAGGCCAAGAACATTCCACAGAACATGCTGTCTTCTTCCACGGGGATATTGTTAAGACTCAACCACAGGGTGTGGGGAACAGCTGGTGTGGACATGGTACAGAGCGGGGGCTCCAGAAATACTCACCTGCTTCTTTGTGATCTAGATGCCCCCTATTATCAATAGCAAAAGGAAGGGAGGGAGGTGCCTGTATGAAGATATACTACAGACAGTCTTAATCCTTTCAGGTGTCCTGTGAGGTGCCTGGTACATAGCGGAGCCTCAGCAAGATTTATAGACAGGCCAACATTACTGTCTGGAATCTAACAGTGGTAAATACTGCTGTGGTTGTCATTGTTATTAGAATGGTGCCTGCCACCCAACAGACATTTGATCAACATTTGCTGAATAAATGGATGGCTGTATCTTCCTCCATTCTAATATGGAGCTGGTTTTCCCAGCAAGGCCCCTTGGATCTGAGACTGTGCCTGCAAAGGAGGAGAGTGCAGCTGCGTGGAAGAGGTCTTCTGCCCTTGCCAGGGACCTGGGGATTGCATGCAGGAAGGTCAGACATTATGGCCTGTCTACTTGTCCTGCACAGGGCTGCTCCTTTCTACAATGAAGACAGGTTAAGAATGTGAACTTGCTACTGAAATGGGGGGGATTAAGTTTGTGGCAACTTCAACTGAACTTGCAACGTGGTGAAACATGGGGAAAAAGAACAACAGAGCTAATTAGACGAGCTGAGCTGTCAGAGTGCTGCTGAATGGCTCAGCGCCAACAAACAAAAGGAATGGGTTGGCAATCAGCAGGATCGATGGAGGAGACTGCTTCATTAGGGATGATAAAACAGACAGAGGAGGGAGAGGAGCGAGGGGCGAGGGAGGGTGGGAAAGACACAATGGACCAGAGACAGTCACCCCTGTGGTTACAGACACACCCAGAGTCACACATACCTCACTGGTGTAGGATTATCATTGCAGACAAACACTCAAATGCACAAGGGCCTGGAGACTATAGTGTATATAGTCTTATAAACAGACATCTACAAAGGCATGCACAAGAGGTGATGGCGTGCACGCGCACGTACACACACACACACACACACACACACACACACACACCATGCAGTGGCGGGCCACAAACAGGCCTACAAACACACAGGCAATTGGTTTAATCAAAGCTGAATCAAAAGACAATACAGACAACCACGGTGCATTTCAACAGTATTGTCCTCTTTTGGAGTGCTTAGGAAGGGTGAGGGCTGGGTGGAGGGGAAAAATCACTGTTATACACAACAGGGTCTGTTCCACTATTGCTAGGATGGCAACAGTACCGGGGAAGAGAATGCTAAACAGGGCTTTCCAGCTCCGTTCAGGGGACTGGAGAGGAAAGTTGGGAAGCCAGCCAATTCCCTACCGGATTCAAAACCTGAGAAATCTAAGTCGGCAGGGTTAAGTGTGTATTGAATACAAAAGCACCGAGTACATTTGATTTTAATGGTGAGCAAGAAATAATAAATAGAGAGCTTACAAAGTGCTTCACATGTGGGCCCGCAGCAGCCTGCCTCTCCCTGGTGGCTCCAGCCACTGTCCTTCATCTTGGAGACACCAGATGATTTTCCTTAGCTCTTTCCTTCCCCTTATTAAGAAGACACCTCAGAGCCTCTTGTCACAGCTGAGCTCCAGCCACAGGTGTTGGACTACAGGATCCCTGTTGTCAAGGCTGAGTGTCTCACTACACCAGCCAGTAGCTGTGTGCTTAGTCAGATGTCTATAGCCAGGTGACCTGGCAAATCCTGACATGGAACCATGTCAGGCTAGCATTTCTGTGGGCCTAAGGAGTTCTATGCCCTAGGTCTCCCTAGTTCCTTCCCACTCAGTGTGGATTGGTATACACTGGTCACGCTGACATCATGAATGTATCCAGGATGAATAATAGTCTCTGTGGCCCGGGACTCCAGGCCCCAGACAATGTATCTTCTAGTTTCCTAAATTGTCTCTCAATGGCTCTGCTTGCAGAGGAGAGGGAGCCCCAAGAACATGGCCAGTCAGTCACCTCTGCCCTGGTTAGGGGCAGAGGAAGCTGCTACCCACTCTTCTTTTGGGGCAACATTCGCTTCTTCAAGTTCTCAGATGCCTGGATACCCCACAGTCTACCCAAGTCCCCACACTGGTAAGACTAGGGGTCACTGGAGCTGTCTCCAGTACTTGAGTTTTTGTCAGAGAGCTACCGTGCCTTGAACCACATGATCCCCTCGCTGTTCAGGAGCCCAGGCCCCTAACCCTGTTCCCAAGTTCCCTACCAGCTATCTATGGCTGCCAAACTAGAGAGGGAAAGGCCAGGGAGAGGTCTCAAAGGCCAGCATGGTCTCTTACTATGTTTATAGTCTTGGCTACAAACGAGGGAAATGACATCTGCCTTCTGTGGGCTGGAGCAAGGATGGATGAAACAATAATGGAGTACCTAACTCAGTCCCATGCACATTCAGAGGCACTTATAGTTTCTAACTTTTTGTTTGTTTGTTTCTCAAGACAGGGTTTCTCTGTATAGTCCTGGCTGTCCTAGAGCTTTGGAGACCAGGCTGGCCTTGAACTCAAGAGATCCACCTGCCTCTACCTCCTGAGTGCTGGGATTAAAGGTATGCACCCCCACTGCCCAGTTAGTTCCCAACTCTTAGCCCTGTCATGACATAATGCTGCCCAGAGACCTCACAGGAAATCCATCTGGCCAGTGCTCAGTTATTTTTTCCCAACTAAAGTCTCTGCCCCAGTTCTGTGGGTTGAGCTCATCTCATTTCCATGACAGGGGCCTAGGGAACTGAGGACATCAGAAAGACCACTGAGTTCTACAATTTGGTGTTCCTTGGTAAGGGTTGAGCTACCAAACATCTTTTCTAAAATGGGTGACCACAATGCTTAGTACACAGAGCTATTTTGACACTCAGCTGGGATGAGGTTCCCCCAAAATTTAGTGGCTATAAAATCCTAGGCAAACAATGGCTATATAATCCTAGGCAAACAATGGCTTTTAATAAAATGGGTCATTATTTAGAAGTGGTAAGATGAAAAAAAAAACAAACAAACAAACAAAACAACCTGTTAGAAAGAGTAAAAGCAGCTACATGTGCCCGGTTCTGTGTTGGGTACCCTCCAAAAACCACCCATGTTTATTTTTACAGAAGAGCACTATGAATTGGGGCCTGGTATGAAAGAGGAGGGGGTGGCCAGAGAGCTTTATTCCTTGCCTAACCCATACACCCTCAGCATTCTGGCCTAGCTCTGATACTCCCAAATCCATTCGGCTAAGGGTTATACTGAAACATTTGCTGTACCATAAAGATTTGACCCAGATGTGAGTCCGTTCCCCCAGAACATGTCATTTTGATGTTTGTCCCTTCTGTCTGATGACAGGGAGTAGAAGATTCCAGCCCCTTGACAGTTGCGCTGACTGGGGTTTGGGTGAATCACATTTTCATAGGGGCGCTGAATGGGTCCATTACCTCACATAGCTGGAATGGCAGATTCCCAACTTACATCCTCTTCTCTACTTCAAACCTTTAATTTCTACACTCAGTGGAGAAGGAAGAGACAGAACCATAGGACATCTGATATCTACCCACACAGTAGCTACTCAATGGATGCTGGGTGTGTGCACCATGGATCAAACAGACATCTGGTTTAGCCTTGTCTTAGGTGCAAAGGATGGTCTCTGTGCCTCATAAGATGGATCTGGAGGGATACACCAGGAAATGTCGGCACACTAGTTTTTGTGACTATAGCTGACCCCTATGCTTGGGCATGGTTGCCTTGGACAATAGACTGGAAACTCTTCCCTTGGAAAATAGCCCCCATCAAAACATCCTAGTAGGTTTCTTACTCCAAGAAAGTTAGGTCCCAGCAAGGTTAAGGTCTGTGTACATGGGAAAATAGACACAT